GGATTTACCTCATCTAACTAGATATCCAGGTCAGGGCATTCCAGATAGTAGTTAAGAGTCTACTATAGGATTTTAAGCATGCATTCTTACTCCTTATCTAGATAGACCCTAAGTAGATACTTCTAATCCTTATAGGAGAGGGAGATGGCCTGGATAAGGAGGTATAGAAACTATTTCTAGTACTATATATACCACCACTCCATCTCCAGCTGCAGCCATCCTAGGGGTTATCTCTGTATCTACTAACCAGGTATTTAGTAGCCAAAGACCTCTTAGATAGATGTATAGGTCTGCTCTAGTATTACCTAGGCCTAGTTAAGGACCCAGTCCATCCCCTAGCAGATAAGGGTAAGAATATAATTATATTAGTGCTGCATCTCCAGCTCTTCTATAGTAGTAGATAGAGAGCTACTACCACCCCACTATACCTGTAGCACAGGTAGGACCTATAGGGTATCTAGCATCCCTATAGTATAGACTAGGCTACACAGGGACCACTAGTAGAAGTATTAGGGCTATTTAGTAAATATTAGCTATAGTATGGTATCATCCTGCTGCTGGCGCCAGATATTATAGATAAAGATAGAGTTATCTATAGTAGCTGGCTAGGTAGACCCCTTAGGACTAGCTACTGGCTAGAGCCTCCCCTACTCTGCCTAGAGCATCTAATACTCCTAGGTAAGAGTGTTCTATACCTATTCCAGTATAGTAGACACAGGGAAGGTGGTTATAAGGCTTACTATTAATAGGGGGGATAGTGGGGGGGATTCTACTATAATAGTTATAGATAGATCCTATAGGCCAGGCTCTGAGCTCCTAGGGCTGCTTACTATAGGACCTTCTAGTGCCTAGCATAATATAGGAGGAGCATCTAAGTACTCCCACACAAGGGGTAATATTAGAGCTATTAGTAGATTATCCAGATCAGTCATAATCCAGCTATTCTTACTAGTAGTAGCTAGGCCTAGCCTATTACCCTTAGCCCTATCCTCCTTATCCCTCTCCTCCTCTATTACCCCAAGTCCTTCTAGCACTAACTAGACCTAGTAGGGTCTACTACTACTAGCCTACTCCCCTAGTTAGTTATAACTGCTCCCCAGCACTTCTTTAGTCCAGTATAGGATAGTAGGCTTAGTTAGGGCTAGTATAGGCTATATAGTCTAGGGCTAGGACAGGGTAGTGATAGTAAAGGTAGGCTATATAGGTGGTAGGTCCTATAGCTATATACTAAGGACACCCACCACCTAGTACTAACAGTAGCAGCTATTTATAAACTAATATTAGGTATTAATCTGTTATAGGTCCTCCTAGCAGACTATAGGATAGTGCTGGTAGTGGTACTCCTAGACCCACTAGGCACTGCTACTAAGGTAGGTCCCACAGGTGCTGTAGTACTAGATATAGTAGGTAGGCAGCTAGGGGATATACTTACTGCTAGGCAGTAGAGGCAGGAAGTTAGTATAGTCCTGCTAGGGCTATATACCCTAGGGCAGCATGAGGAGCTACAGGTAATAGTTATAGGCCACCTACAGCTAGTAGGTTTCCTAGAGATATTACTATGCTAGGCAGCTAGGGACCACCACCTTATATACCTAGCAGATAATAGTATTATAATTATAGAGGTAGACATACAGTGGTTGCATAGTTATAGCAGATAGGGCGGACCAGATATTAGTGTGGTGTAGTATGGACTGTGTGGTCAGGGGTCTAATAGGCAAGATAAAGGTATAGGAAGGGGTGGAAATAAAAGATAGATTATATTAAGGGCTAGCTAGCAATAGTTAAATCCTTATATTTTATAGGTGGCTAGGAAGAGGATATATTACTTTTTCCCCTCTTTTTCCTAGCCTTAGTCCTATCCTGTTAGTTTCACCAGGGGATCTAGCATAATTAATCTATTTTAAACTAGTATCATCCAGTCTGTGGCCCCATCAGCCCTAGTAGGCAGAGTGTAGGTGCTAGCTAGGCCTAGTCTGGATCCCTATACTATAGATAAGTTAATTACACCTTTAACTCCTGATCTGAAAGGGGGCTTCAGGGGGAGTCCTAGGACTATTATATACTTAGGGTTAGGATTTATACCTATTAACTAATCCACTGCAGCAGATGGGCTAGGGGCACCTATAATACTACATATAGATTAGCTTGTGCTGTGGCCAGCTGCTGCTATTATAGAGATCTAGTATAATAATTAGTTTAGGTTGCAGCTAGCTGCAGCTGCCAGTAACTATCAGGGTGGGATATCCCTAGTAGCTGTAGTGGGTCTGATTAATCCTGTGCTTACTATATCTAGCACCAGGGGCTGGATCCCTATAAGAACCATCTAACAGGGACCCTAACAGTGTGGTTAGCTACCTAGTATCTAGGATAGGGATTCCAGTGCATAGACAGTGGTTATTAATAAGGGAGGCTGCAGGATCACTAGGCTAAACCATTAGTTTAGGTTATAGGAGCAAGGGGACCACTAGTTTACAGGCCCAAACTAGGTAGGAGGCAGAGATATATATCTCTACCATAGAGATGCACTGCCTGCGCAAGATTCCACCCCCTGATGGGTACTAAGTTTAGTGTGGATGGTTGTGCAGGAATAGGACCAGGGAGCTATTAATTAGGCCTGCTAGATAACCTAGATTATCAGGTGTGAGAAGCAGTATGGCCTAGGTGGGGAGCAGTGCCCCTGGCAAAACCTATTTAGTAAGCTAATCCTAATGGGTGCACCCTGATTTCACAACCACACCAGCAGATTGGGACTCTGTGACTAATGTGGTCTGATCAGGTGCCTGGAGATGAGTTGAATGCTACCTGGCTTGTCTGCACCCAACAGCAGGGGCTGACAGGGAGGGGTGATGCCGTGGCTGGGATGGGGGGTGCTGGCGGCCATACAAAAGGCCCGACAGGGACGGTCGGAGCCGTCTAGTAGGGATCAAGAGCAATGTTGCTCCTCTAATCGCTGAGCAGTACGCGAGGAAACCTCTCCGGACCAAAACACTGTCAAGCGGAGAAAAGGTCATTGTAGATCCTAACGTCACAATTCAGACTATTTATGGTCGTTACTACTGGTCAGTAGCCATTGGTCGCGGTTTACGAAAACAACACACTGACCTCGTCTAAGGGTTATCAATATTGGCTCACTCTCCGTGATACCGGCATCTGTGGGTGCATCCATGTCATATTTTGTCCTAATGTACTCACGGACATGCGATTCAGTGGCTAGAGTTGAAAGTTTCATTCTGGGCTGCATTCCTCCTACCGCTCTGCTTCTGGGTGTTACCAGTTGGCGCATTGGCAGTGGGCCGAGGAAGATATGGTAAGCGACAAATCCACCTTCCGTCATTCACGCGATGGTTGTTACTTACTCATTATTTCTAGTTGTCCAGAATCCAAGTGGCTCAGTTCTAATCAAAGCAATGCGAGTCTTCTGGGTAGGTTTCAAGAGAGGCTGCAATCTCGATGCTGCAAAGCCGTCAGTCTTGGCACAAACTCACCCTGCAACTACCGTTCCCTGGGACGATGCATTTGTTGATGAATTGAAACGAGCACTCGTCGCATGTTCTGTTTTGTGAGTTACCCAAAGCGACATGAGGCTTCTGATGTTTGTGCACTGACAATTTTCACGCCTTTCGTCAGTTGTGTGTTGTAAGTCTCAAGTCTCAACTACCCATCAAAGACTTGGATTGCAGCAGACTAAGCTGGATTGCAGTCCCATTTTCTGGGTTTGTTACGGACAGACCAACAGCAACCTGGTTAGCCAGGCAGCAGCCATGAAAACCTACGGAATTCCGAATGACATGAGTATTGCAACCGGGGATCCTTACGCGTTATGAGAGCACTAATTGAGGCATAGTGGGATGCTTTAATCCAATCATGGTTTTGACATTTCTTCCAACCATGTACGCATACTTTTAGGCTGTCTTATATTTCATTTTAGAGGTGCAAACTAAGACATTCTCTAGGGAAAAATTCGTCTACCCAACCCTGCGACGATTTCGCCTCAGCTTTAAACCGATCAGTCGAATCACCGCCGGTTTCCTGGTGATGGCATGTGCCATTGGATACTCAGCAGGGATTCAAGACTGTTAGTAGTAAGATGTCTCAACTCACTGTTCCAAGGCCTGCTGACCCAGGTCGCAGTGATTTACCGATCGCCTCCATGCTACGAACATCCACTCAGCGGATATTGCAGCGATGGTGGAAGAACGCCAAATGATGTAAGAGACTTTCTTTCAACCATTCTCGCTCATCCCAGCGAGAGCCTAACAAAAAACACAGGTTAGTGTTTTCCTGCAAGTCCCCGTCTACACAATGACGGCGCTTTCTGAAGTCCTTGCGTACGTCGCCGGCATGGAGTACGCATACACCAAAGCCCCTAAGTCTATGCGTAGCATCGTATCAGCTCTCTTCCTCGTCACCTGCACCATCGGCTCGATGCTGGGCATCACACTCTCACCCGTCTCAAAAGACCCTAAGGTCCTCGTAGAATACGCCTCGTTGAGCGGCGTTATGCTCGTCACGGCCGTCTTGTTCCTGCTCGCCTTCCGGAAGTACAACAAGATAGAGGAGAAACTTAATATGCTCAATAGCGGGGAGGGGGACTCTACCTCTGTGAGTGAGACGGTGCAGCAGATGCGGACAATTGAGAAGGCTTAAAAAAGGTGTGCTGATCATTGAAATCCGGTAACATGACCTTTGAAGAGTAGATGCGTCGTCTGGTTTATAGGAGGATTTCTATGATTCGCAATAGTTTCTGCTAACTTGCACCCCTTTAAAAATTCTTGGTTAAACCATAAAGAGTTCTTGGAGCAAGCGATTATTAATAGAAAATAGAAGTGCAGGCATCACAAACTCTTTCATGTGCTCGGTTTAGGGTTTATTATTCACATCTCAGCTCGAATAGGACAACCTCCCTATACAGGTCGCAAACCAAGAATTGTTGGTATTTTCCGGGGGATGAATTCAATGAGGGAAATATAGTGAGCAAAATTGATGATGGCACGCTTGATCTACAGTCTACTCTTGGCTCCCCGATCTGCCGCTGCAAAAGCCTGTTCGAAATCGGCGATGATATCGGTGATATGTTCCAAGCCGACGGAGCATTGAATAAGGTCCTAAAAAGCATTAACCCTGGACAACACATAAAATCTGTCAGACACAAACCTCTGTGGCACCACTTGCGATCCTTTCTTCCGGTTTTAGCTGCTCGTGCGTTGTTGACCACGGGTGTAAGGCAAGCGTCCTGTCCGCACCTGTTAGCAAGAACGGATCGGAGGCGAACGATCTGCATAAAGTGGAAACAAATTTAATGATTTTTATGGTTACTGACTTTGCATCTCCAACACTAAAATATTGTTAGCCTCCAAATGTTTAACTACGAAGGTCTTAGAGCTACCCACTTGCCGACGTGGCTGATCAACCGGAAGCTATCCAGGACTTTGGTCCCGGCCGCAGCGCCGCCCTTGATACCAAACGAGGTCACTCCACCGAATCCCCTCTTGAAATAATTCTTGGCCAATTGATGAGATGGATGATCTTCTAGGCCTAAAATCAAATTCAGTGAGCGCTATTTGACCATTTCGGGTGAATTTCTCAGGTAGGAGTGTTGTCATACCAGGATATGAAACCCAGGACACATGTTCATTATCCTGCAGCCAAGTTGCCAACGCCATGGCATTGCTGACATGCCTTTCCACTCGGATGGACAATGTTTCCAAGCTTTGAAGGAGTAAGAACGCAGCGAAAGGGTTCAGAGCGCAGCCCAAATCTCGAAGGATCTCAGTGCGCGCGCGAATCGCGAAGGTCAACCGGCCAAATGTTTCGTAGAATTTCATTCCATGACAAATATATTGTTATTTGCTCCCTTCATCTGATCTGACCGGTTGATATCAAGCTTAGAAGCCGATCTTACAAGGCTGTAAACATTACGGTCCTACTGGGGCGGACCCAATGGTGATTCTTAAACTTCTACTATTCCTGATGCCTAGTACTGGGACGCTATTCTTTAAAGACAGGCCTTGGACCACTGGGGTTGCCGTAAGTTGTGATATATGGTCCTTTGATGCTGTGGTACGTGACTGATATATAATTGAAAGCAAAGTAGCTCTCTTTTGTTTGATTCAAGGACCTGTCACCAGTTAGCTGAGCAATTCCTTGCAGATATATTCCCAGAAATAATAGCTGACCAGGCTTCATCCATCAAAGCTCGGTGGGTTTGGACATGCTCGTCCCAACCGAGGTACTCAAGTATCTCCACTACTGCGTCAGAAACATAGTGATCTTCGGCTTCTGCAACAGTAAAGTATAGTTTCGGAACAGGGATAGAGACATCGGTTCTCAGTTCCCAAACCCACTGCATGCAGTACTTCAATTCGCATGTCGATGGCTCATCATCCATCAGACGCCCCCAGAGCCTCTTCACAAGCTCGAATCCTTTGTCGACAACGTCGCCCTGAAGTCGCCCTCCCAGTGTCCAAATATCCCAGGCCTGCTCTAGCGACTCCATTTTAATGCCTGTGTAAACCTTGATCCTGGCTTCCTCGGCGTCGATAGCATCGTAGGAGACTACATCCCAATCTCCCATAAAACGACCTCTTGTGGGAATCATCCAGTCCTGCAACATGTCCAAAGCTGAGTTGAAGTTGGGATTCCCTAACGCCAGCTTTCGGATAGAGTCAAACATAATTTGTGTTGTGTCGACTCCGGTGACCGCGGAGCGGATTGAAGGCAAGAAGTATGACTTGAGCGTGAAGGCCCCCTCGGCCAAATCGAGCCCATGGAGTCTCTGATTTTTGTACGGGACGGAATTGATAGCCTGCTTGTGGTTCAAAGCCACCTCCTTGGGTACCACAACCTCCCGTTCGAAATGGTCAAACCAGGTGAAATTGAGATCCGGCTGGAGAGCTCTTAGATCGTCAATCAGCTTATTTTCGGCGGCCACATTTGTGGGATCTTTCTCGGTGCCGGTAAGCGGGCCAAGTGTCTCTGCAGCCATGCGCACAGTGCACTTGGACTGTTGCTGGAAGTTCATGCTAAGCTCTAGGTTCTCGCCTCCTGGGCAGATAGCGCAGACCCAGTTAACGTTGTCTCTCTTCTCGTTAGGATATGGACCAAGGTTTGGGGCGTAGACGGAGTAAAACATCAGCAGATGTTGGTACTGGGATGCCATGCTGTATCTTGCGAGCTTCAGATATGTGGCAAGCTTGGAGCCTCCCTGTTTCCACCACAGCCGGTGGTCTTCATGTTCAAACGACAGGGCCCGACTCAATACTTCGAATGGCGCACGCAGTTCCTCTTGTGAATGAGACACTTGCGTAGTATCCTTCGTCATCTTGCCTTGGCGGTTGTATTAGTAGCTAAGATAGGTCACTATGTTTGGTTTTCGTGTAGTTCTTTTGTTCCTGTGTCATTGAAGAGAGCAAAATTATGGTGTAGCTGTCTGATGAGCCTGACCTTTAGCATTATATTCCTCTTGTCTTTATTATTATGTTATTGAAATTCATGTTAACAGTGGCGGTGTGGGTTCGCACTTCTACTCTGAGCTTGTTACAGATCCAACCATACATGGAAAGATGTTGTTAATGGAATGAGCAAGTTGGATGCAGAATGACGCGGCTGTTATCATGTGTGAGATTTCAAGCATTCATGAGACCCAACAGCAGGAGACTTTTAGTGGCTGAGGCCCGCGGGCTATTCATATTTCGCCAACCCCCTGCCTTCATACACCATCAATGAGTGGAAGAAAAAAGGAAAAATAGATGGCTAAGTACAGATGGCCGTTGTCCTTCGCCCATTGATCTGTTGCCTGCTGCGGTTTTGATTCCGCAGATCAAGGTGATCCGGAGCTATTTCTCTTCGAGAACAGATTTTGCTGTTGGATTCATGCGCGTTCTCTAGTATAAATGCACATGACCAACTTTAGACAGCCACTGCCTGGCCACTGCTTCAAATACCTGTGTGTTTCCTCATTATTGGTTGATCCAAATCAAATGGTGGCTAAATGGAATGCATAATTGCATGCTCGCTCCTAACATTGTAGTCAAAGCAAGGGTTTTTGAGACGCAGATTGGTATTGGTACCGTGTCTCTTAACAGACCCTGCCGAATATGAGCAATCCTGACAGCCTCACTTTGGCAACTCATTCTACGATGTACAACAATGTCGACAGCTTGTCTCATCTTTGTGGATTTTATTCCTGTGACACTGACCCTTGCATGAGATATTAAACTGATGGCCGCCGCTAACGATTTATCTTCGCAAGGAGTATTTACAGCAACACTGCCAAGAGGTGGGACTGTTTGGAGAAAATCTCATCTGTTGAACATTAATAGTCTTCGAAGAGGGTACCTTGAACTTGCTAATCACAAACCATTGACGGTGAGTCGTAAGACGCCAAATTTAGTCACAAAGAACCTGCTAAGGCATATCTTCATACAATGGCATCAGTCACATCCAAGATATTTGCCATCACTGGCGGCGCATCTGGGATTGGTGCCGCAACCTGTCGCCTACTTGCTGAACGGGGTGCCGCGGTTCTCTGTGTCAGCGATATCTCATGCAAGAATTTTCATGCTCTCAAGCGTTCAATCGAGGATATCAATTCATCAACCGAAATACGCTGCACTACAGTGGATGTGACCTCCTCCGCGGAAGTTGAGCAATGGCTCCGGGGTATCATCTCCACATACGGTGACCTCCACGGAGCCGCCAATGTCGCCGGTATAGCTCAGGGCGCTGGCATGAGACGCACACCTACAATTGCAGAGGAGACAAACGAGGAATGGAACAAGATCCTGAATACCAACCTGAATGGTGTGTTCTACTGCACGCGGGAAGAGGTGCGTGCCATGAAGAATCTCCCTGTCGGCGATAGAAGTATAGTCAATGTTGGCAGTATCGCTGGCTTCTCTCACATACCGGACGTGTATGCATACGGGACATCAAAGGGGGCGTGTGCTTATTTCACACACTGCGTGGCGCCGGATGCAATTACCCTGGGGATCCGGGTCAATAATGTCTCTCCTGGTGAGCCGGCTTCTGTTATTCTATTCCTCTTCCTTCAAGAGCTGATCAGCAACACATCTTCCAGGAGTCACAAATACCCCCATGCTCCCGCAGTTTGCTCCAGGTGCCAAGTCGTTGGCGGAGATAGAAGAGTCCTACAAACAGGAGGGACTTTCATTGATTGAACCTGAGGATGTGGCCAGAACTATTACTTGGTTACTGAGTGAGGACTCGCGGCCGGTATATGGAGCCAATATCAACGTCGGGGCTTGTATGCCCTAGATAACGCGAAGATTACTCTCGCCGACGTTATGCCCCTACTGAAAGGG